CCCCAAAACCCCAAAACCCCAAAACCCCAAAACCCCTTAACACCACAAAAGAGTTGAATCTGGTTACACAAACTTTACTCAGAATCAAATAATTTTGTTATGCCAAATGAGGAGACAATGCTTCCAAGTGTTATTCCTAAGACCAAGAAGAGAGCCATGAATTTGGAAGTTATCACTTTGTCCTGAGCCTTAGCTTTATCCACTGATAGCATCATCTGGCAATTTCCGATATATCCATTAGTAAACCCTATTATTAGGATATTGATAATTTTAAATGCATCATGCCTGAAGAAGACAATGTCGTAGGCAGAAAGGAATGCAAAGCCGATTGGAATTCATCTCAATCTATAGAAAATTAGAACAAAGATAAATGGTTTAAGACTTACAATGTGGCTAATGCAGATGTGTTTACAGTCAGGACGACCTTATACTCAGAGACAAATCTCGATACAGTGTCTGCAAAGTTGTACAGGGAGATAATGAACCAAACTTCCCATGCCTTGCTTGAAATAAAATCGATGTTTCCTTCCAGCAAGACAGCAGGGAAGACACAGAAAGTTTGGATGTAAATAATAACCAGCCCATAACCTGTAATGAGTAAGGTATTATGTATTTTAAACATATAGCTAAGAGATTCCATTTTATTGGGATTGGATTTATTTTCCTCTTCTATTTCCAAAAGATTATTGTTCTCTTCTGTGACTCCGATAGTACCATTATTCTTGGGATCTAAAACCTCTAGGGTGTCATATGAAGAGTGTCTCCTCTTAGTGTGGAATTCTATATTACGATAAGATTTGAAATCTATATAAAATCAACCGAAACCGACCTGATCAGGTGAGAAGAACAACGTTTTAGTAGTAATTCTTTGATTACTTACCGAAATAGTTTGACTTAAAATATCTAGTGTATGGCAAGTAGAGCAGCATAAAAATTCCAAGAACGAGTGTTAGCACTCCTAGTATGAAGTATACCAAAGCTCCTCTGAAATAATTTGGGTCATTAGGATCATCCTTAGTTGGGAATATTAATAATGAAAAAGCTCTTGCTATACTTACAGCAAGTCCACTCACAGCACATCCGGTGTTAAGTGGGCCAATGTAGTTGCCTGGAATTGATGCTGTATACCCAAAAGCTCAGCACTGCATAACTCCATTAACACATGATATTACAATGATAGCGATAAAAATGATGATCCATAAAGTCTCAAGACTATCGATCAGTTCCGGAAATAAAGGTAAGGCTATTGTTAAACCACAGAGCATCAGCATTGTAACGATAGTTGTGATTTTATCTGGGAAATAGGGAGCCAAAATAATCATAAGCAAATTAGTGATAAACAAGGGCCCATTTGAAAGAATAGACACAACAAAATTTATATCATGACCTGGCAAGTTAGCTTCAAAATAGTCCAATGCCATTATCAGTGAGTTCCAAGGAAGAAGAATTGCCATTCCTAGTCACAGGAATGTCAAATAAACAAACTTGTAGTTATCTTTTGGAGGTTTTGGTGCTAAATCCTCCTCTGTTGAAGTAGTATCGCTCATTTCTCTTTAATTCAATATTATATCTCACTAATGGGGTTTTGGGGTTTTGGGGTTTTGGGGTTTTGGGG